TTGCCCCCCCACTGACCCCACTCATAGCCTTCTTTCTGCATCTTCAAAGCAAGCAACAGTAGGTTGAGACCCTGTCACATTGTATCACTGTGATCTCTTCTGCCTCTCTCTCCAACTTTTATGAATAGTCACATTATAATTCTCAGATAATCCAGGGTAGTCACCCTGTATAACATTAGGGGATTACTGTGCCTGCCTGGCAAAGGCAAGGACCTGAGTTTGGCTCCTGGTACTAGAAAAAAAAAAAAAAAAAAAAAAAAAAAAAATAAGCAGATTAGCAGCCTTTATTCCTCTTCCATATAAGATAATACCTTCATAGATTCCAGGGATTAGGGCCCAGCATCTTTTAGGGGTCCTTATTTTGCTTTCCACAGAAGATTTTGTGGAAAAGGGAATTTGAATAAGTCTTATGATCAGGGTACAGTGGTACAAATCTGTGGTCCCAACCCTGAGGGAGGCTGGGGCAGGAGGATTGCAAGTTCAAATCCCACCTGGGCACCTTAGTAAGACCTTGTCTCAAAATAAAAAAGGCCGGGGACTAGGCTCAATGGCAGAGTGCCCCTGGTTTTGACTCCCTGTACCACATGTCCACACACACGCCCTTATGGTATGGAAGTTTTTTCTCAGAGTTTAGGAAAAGAATGTTTCAGAGGAAGAGGTCAGTATAAGCAGCAAACAAATAGGAGAGTCTAGTCAAGGTTTCGGAATGGCAGGTAGTACACGTAGTCCTAAGTCACTTGTGTGATGTACATTAGGGCTGGGATAAATGAGCAAAGGACAGATAATGGGAGGAAAATAAGTAAATGCCATACCCAAAGGCCCTCTTATGGTAGTCTGAGAGGTTTGGAATTTATTTTTTACAGTGAGGTACCTCTGAAGGGTTTTGAGGAGAAAGGTCATGATTTGTTGTGTTTTGAAAAATCACACATAGTAATATGCAAAGCAGTTACATGCTAGAAGGTTATTGAAAAAGTCCTAGAAAAAAATAATAAATAGGCCAGTGAGATAAGAAAAGAGGGAACAGATTAAGGGAATTTTGTGGGAAAACTAATAGCAGGCTTTATTGGGATTCCTTTTTGCAAACAGCCACCTCTGGCAAACATTTGGAGGGAAGAAGCTGGGTATAGTAATAGTACACACCTGAAATTCAAGCACCCTGAGAGACTGAGGCAGGAGGATTGCAAGATCAAGCCCAACCTGGACAACATAGACACTTAGTGCCATCCTGTCTCAAAAAATAATAATAATACGGGGAAGGGGGAGCAGAATTTATTAGAAGAATATGAGGTGGCTCACGGTACCAAAGGAGTAGCTGAACATCCAGGGCAGCTGTGGGGATTTAGGGAGCAGGAACAAAGGGGCGGACTCCAAGGACTGCTGCAGCATGAATGAGCATCAGAAGTATTATATAGGCTTTATTGGGTTCCAGATTAAATTCTGAGAGAAAGTACAGTTGCTCCAACATGTACCTTATATCTATCACCAAATCAAACGCTGCATCCCAGAGTACGGAATGGGATGATGAGGCACTGACCAGCCTAGCAGGAGGGGGTAGGGGATGAATGACTTTCCTTAACCTTTGTACTGTAAGTGGAAGAGAGATTGGTTCCCCAAAGGAAAACTTCTAACTAGATAAGATCCATGAAAGAAAAGAAGGACATAAAGACAAGCTGAAGGTTTATAGCATTTACTAGTAAAGTTTATAGCATTAACCAAGATGAAACACGAAGAGAATGAAGACGAGACTTTATAAGATCGGCTTTGAATATGGTTGAAATGCCATCAAAACATCCATGTGTAATATACAACAGCAACAGGAAATTTGGGTCTTGAAGTCAGAATAAGATTTGAGTGTAGAAGTCCTTTGTTGAGAGTGAAAAAAAGACAAGGAAGATGACCTGATCCTTTATACCCATCACACTCTGCTATAGTAGCCTGCAGTCTTCTCTTGCTGGCCTGATTTCTGTTTTAACCATGAGTAGTTTTGTTAGAATCTGTTTTATTCTGTGTGTTAACTCTTGAACTCAGGACTTGATGACTCCTCTGGTTGAAGGTCTGATGATGTTACCTCCTAGCTGTGACCTTTTATTTTCCTAATGTCTTGGAAACTGTCATACTCAGCCTCTCCTGGCCTGCCTGTCCATGCAGTGGCTTGGGATCCAGGTCCAGCTGCACCCTAGTTTTGAGGGAGTGAATTTAAAGTTAATTTAAGGTTTAATGTAGTGGCAAGGACTCCAAATGGATATGCCCAAGAACATGAGTTACAGATGGATGTTATGTGAAAAGTAAATATATTAAGAGTAGAGTTAGGACATCTATGTAGAGGGACAGTGCTAATGGGTCAGCTTCTTGGGTCCAGTATCGTAAGAATGGAGAAGTAAGTTTCCTAGGCTTGGCCCTTCTGAAAAACTGTTTTAGGAAGCAAGAGAAGAAAAGTGAATTAAGAACAGAGCTCAAGGGGCCGGGGATTTAGCTCAGTGGTTCGGTGGCCTGCCTTGCAAGCGCAAGGACCGGAGTTCAATCCCTGGTACCAACAACAAAAAAAAAAAGAACAGAGCTCAGGACGAGGGATTTGGCTCAGTGGTTCCGCTGTCTGCCTTGGGAGCACAAGGGCTTGAGTTCTATCCTGGTACCACCACCAAAACAAAAAACAAAACAAAAAAAAACAACAGAGCTCAGAGGATGGGCTAATGAAGAGGGTAGAAGAAGGAAGAACAAAAAAGAGGGTGGGACACAAATGTCTCAATAACTAAAGTTTCAAGGAAAAGGATGGTCCACAGTATAAAAAAGCCAAAAAGAGTGAACTGAGAAAAAGACCTTGGATTTAGGAATAAAGCCATCGTTGGTGATTTTTTATAAAGCTGTATAAGTTTTAGTAAAATGATGGAATGGGAGCCAGATTTCAGAGCGATAGAAGAAAACAGAGGTGAGAAAACAAGAACCAGACAAACTAACACATAATTATTGAGCACTTAACAATGATCATAGCACTGTGCCTGTATGGTTGTGAACATATTATCACTGCTCTCCAAGAATATCAGATTAATTTGAGACAATAAGGAATCTATGAAAGCGTTCATTCCAGTAAATTCAGAATATGTCATAAGGTGAACTTTGGTTAATGCCTAATACATTTACTACACAGTATGAGAACGCTTGATTAGAGTGAAAGGAGGATGCTTTAGTTTAAATTTTCTTTTGTTCTTGTTTCTCAGCCTAGTTATCTTTGTTGTTGTTGTTGTTAAGGGCTTCCAGGTTTTCTGAGAAGCAGAAATCAAGACTGTTTCATTCAGAAACATCAGAATGCCCTGCATACAGTCCTGAAAAGTGGCCTGTGAAGCCTGTGGGCCAGAGCTTTGTGGTAAACCAGTAGGCTCTTTTAGTCTCCCCCTGAATTCTCCCACAAAGTAGATGGTTTTAACGGTAAGAGTAAGGGCCCATGTGGGACACAGGTGTAGTTGTGGCAAGTCAGGACTCCGGTGCTAATGGGAAAAATAGAGCTGTACGAGGCACTGTAAATACAAGATTCTAGCTGAAATTGGAACATTCAGGCTTCTTCCATTTATGGCTTTGAAACTTTTTGATGTTGAAGTGGAACTTGTAGTGTTTTTTCACTTGTTAGGTGGAAATGCCACACCTTAATTCTCCTCAGTTACATCCTTAAAGTTGGAAGGAAAACACTTTTTTTTCTGTTATTAATAATTAAGGCTAAAATTTGTTGGGCTAACTATAAAAAGGAACACCACTCCCAGAACTGGCTTTGAAAAGAGTAGAGGATACTTCCTCCAGGATGGTACACAATGCATCATTTTTCCTTCATGAGTGTTAGGTTCATTTGCAATGCCTTCAGTTTTGAAGAAAGAATAAAGAGAGAATTTAAGAGAATAGTCTCTCTTAAACCCTGTCACTAGATAAAACTGTTCTTATATCAGATAGTTCTCTGTCTTCTAAGGGCTTTGTCCACCTTTCAGTGTGATGCACTGCTTTCTTCTCAGAGAAACTTCATCCTTTAACCTCATTATTTTTGTAGATATTTGCCTAGAGCCACACAGCTAAGTTGGGACTCAGAAGGGGTTTTCTAAACAGCCCTGTGCTTCAGGAATTGCACTTAAGGTCTGGGGGTGGGGGTGTGGCTAAGTGATAGAGCACATGCCTAGCTTTTGTGAAGCTCTGGGTCTAGTACCACAGGGGGAAGAATTGTACAGAATGCTATCAAAAGTCAAGAAAATTATTTTTGTTATAGTGCTATGGTTAACTACCACTATTATACATATATAATTTTTCTTCTATACATCCCAGTTTCCCCAATTTTTCTGGACAAGGTGATTGAATTTTCAGAATTATACAGCTTTGAATTTTTAGAATATATCCTTATTCCTGCACTACTAGAATAAGCCTCATGGTTCTAGTAGAATATTTCTCCCTCATGGAAGCTAATGACCTAGAACATTTTTCTTTGAAGATCTTGCTTCAAAAAGAGAAAAGTGGGGCTGGGGATTTAGCTCAGTGGTTTCGCCACCTGCCTTGCAAGTGCAAGGGCCCGAGTTCGATGTCCAGTACAAAAAAGAGAGAGAGAGAGAGAGAGAGAGAGAGAGAGAGAGAGGGAGGGAGGGAGGGGGAGAGAGAGAGAAAAGTGGTCTGGAATAAATGGAATAAATATGAGAGTAACTGAAATTGCTAGGATATTAGAGAATCAAGACTGAGATTTAGTGAAAGCATGAACTAAAAGTGGAGATACCTGGGGTCTTGTCTCAGTATTGACATTAACTCATTGTGAAACCTTGTTCTATTCTGGGTCTTAGCTTTCCCACTGATAAAGTCAGAACATTGAAGTAACATCTCTAGTTTCCTACTATGTAGTTTCAGGATCAATTCCTAGAAATTACCACTGCTATTATATTTCCTATTCTATGATTCAAATAGATCATAGTGATGTTTCTGTCCATTGCCTAGGAGTATTTACTGCTAAATTGGCTGGATTGTCTGATATTTCTAAGCAGAGCACAGACTGTGACTTCTGACCAAGAAAAACGATTGCTGCATCAGCTCCGAGAAATCACCAGGGTCATGAAAGAAGGAAAGTTCATTGACAGCTCTACTCCTGAGAAAGAAGCTGAAGAAGCCCCTTACATGGAGGATTGGGAAGGTAAACAGCATCTTCCCATTTCTTCATAAGCTGTCAGCTCAGGAAAGAGACCTTCAACACTTTTACAAGTCAGTTCTATTATCTATATACACACACACTCACACACACCACACAAATATATGTAATAATTTTTACCAATTTTAAATATACAACTGGATGAATTTTGACAAATATGCATAATTATATCATTGAACCACAATCTTGGTATAGGATATTTCTCTTACCCAAGGAAATCTTCTTTTCCTGCTGCGGCAGTAACTGAACTGCTTTGTGTCCCTGTGGTTTTGCTTTTTGTAAACAAAAGGATCATACTGCTTTTTTTTTGGTACCCGGGATCGAACTCGGGTCCTTGCACTTGTGAGGCAGGCGGTGTAACCACTGAGCTAAATCCCCGGCCTCTGCACATGCTTTTTGATTTCTGGCTTCTTTGATTTAACATAATGCTTTTGAGATTCCTATGTGTTGTTGAGTGATCAGCAGTTCTTTTTTTTATTATTGCTGAGTAGTACTGTATTACATGGATGTGCCATACTTTGTTTATACATTCTCCAGTTGAGGAGCACTTCGGTTGTGTCTAGCTTTGAACTATTATGAATCAAGCTGCTATGAAGTTTTGTATACAAGGCTTGGTTTGGACATATATTGGTATTCCTTTTGGGTATGTGCTTTGGAGTGAAATTTCTAGAGTTTATGGTGAATTTATGTTTAACTTCTTTAGAAACTGTCAGCTTAGTTTCCAAAGTGGCTCTAATTGCAGCTACTCCAGATCCTTGCTAACATGATATTGTCAGTCTAATTTTAGCCCCTCTAGTGAATATATAGTGGTATTTCATTGTGACTTTAATTTGTATTTCTCTAGTCACTAATGATGTTGAGCATTTTTCATGTGCTCACTTGCCATCTGTATGTCTCTGATGAAGTGTCTGTACAGATTGTTTGCCATTTTAAAAAATGGGGTTGATTATATTCTCACTGAGTTTTAGGAGTTCTTTGTATATCCTAAATACAAGTAAGGTCCTTTATTGAGTATGTATTTTACAAGTATTTTCTTCTAATCTGTAGCTGGCCTTTTTTATTTTCTTAGCAAAATTTTTCAAAGAGCAGTTTTTAATTTTGCTAAAGTCCAGTTTATCTTTTTCCTCCTCTAATTCACATTTTCTTATATTCTAGTTAAGAAGTCTTCATCCTAAGATTTGCCTAACTTGTTTTTTCTTTTAGAAATTTCATAGTTTGAGCTCTTATATTTAGGCTTCTGATACATTTTTTGAGTTACCTTTTGTAGACGATATGAGATATGAGGACTTGGCTTATTTATTTATTTTTGCATTATCAATACCCACTTGTTCCAGTTCTTTTTGATACACTTAATTACTTTGGCATATTGGCTGAAAGTCAGTTAATTCATGTATCTATTCTGGACTTTATTCTGTTCATTGATCTGTATGTACTTATACCAATTATCACACTGTCTGCATTTTTATGTCTTTATAGTAACTCTTAAAATCAAGTAGTGCTGATTCCGTTTTTTTCAAAGTCATTTAGGCTATTTTAGATTTTTCACGTTTTCATATAAATTTACAATCAAAATGTTTTATTTTTTAATATAAATTTATAATCAGAGTGTCAGTTTTTTTTAAATGAAAAAGCCTCATAAGGATTTTGCTTGGCATTGCATTGAACACTTAGATCAGTATGTAAGAATTAATATTGTGGCAGTGTTGAATCTTCCAGTGCATAAACCTGTTACATCTCTTCATTTATTTAAATCTTTAAAAATTTCTCTTAGTAATGCTTTGAAGTTCTTAGTATATATGTCTTTCTTTCCAGTATGTAGATCTTGTATATATTTTCTAAAGTTATCCCTAGGTAGTTCATATGGCTTCTGTTATCACAAAAGATGTTTTAAATTTTTTAATTGCTTGTTGCTACTAGAACAATAGAAATAGAATTGATTTTTATATTTTTACCTTACGGCCTATGACCTTGTTTAATACACTTAAGTTTTAGTAGCTTTAAAAAAAATAGATTTTTTGTTTTTTAGGATTAGGTTCATTAGGATTTTCTGTATAGATGATCATGTTGCCTGTGGACAAAGACAGTTTTACTTCTTCCTTTTTGTCCTGTATCCCTTTCATTTATTGCACTGGCTGGCACAATGTTGAATAGGAGCGAAGCTAAATCCTTACTTTCCTGATATGCACGAAAACACACCTTCTTCATAGATTATTTTTTGTTCATTTTCTTTTCAGGTTAAGGAAGCTATCTTCTAGTCCTTCTTTGCAAAGACTAGAATGGATGTTGAATTTTTTAAAAAATCATCTGAGGCCCAGGGATTTGGCTTAGTGGTGCCCACACCTGCCTCGCAGTGCATAGTGCTGAGTTCATTCCCCCATACCAGAAAACAAAACAAAACAAAAATCATCTGAGATGATCATATAGTTTTGCTTTGGCTAGTTAGTATGATGGCTTACACTGTGTGTGTGTGTGTACGTGTGTGTACGTGTACTCAGGGCCTTGCATATTCTCTGCCAACTGAGTTACATCCCCATAATCACATTACTGCATAATTACATTTTGGTCAATGACAGATCACATGTACAAATACAGCAGTAGTCCAACAAGCATAATGGAGCTTTAAGACATTCCTATTGCCTAGTTACATCATAGTTGTCATAATATCATAGTACAATGCATAATTTATATGTAAAAAGCTGATATAAACAAACCTACTGTACTACTACTCATAAAACCATGGCACACAATTATGTATATGTAATAAATATTATTGGTTTATATATTTACTTTTTATTTTAGACTGTATTTTCACTTATACAAAAATTTATTGTGAAACAATATGGCTTGTTATGGTGGCATTAGACTCATACATCTCATGTTTATTACACCTCTTGATTTCATCAAGAGACTGTAAGAAATAGTTGACTTGTACCATCTAGGTTTGTGTAAATGCACTCTGATATTTGCTCAGTGATGAAATTGCCAAATGACATATTTGTCATACTGTATTCCTGTCCTGTTACATGGCTTTTTTAAATTCTTTGATAGGTTATGTATCTGAATTCAGATCCTTAGGGTCTGTTAACCTTGCTTTATTTCGGCAATTTGGTGGTAACATGTGTCCCTGACTGTTCTTGATCCTCATATCTGGGTGTTGGTGTCTTTACATGCAGAGAAGCAAGCACTTCTTCCAGTCTCTGTGTACTGGCTTATCTATAATGTCTGGTGCTGGGGTAGCCTTGGAGCTTGAGCTTTCAGGGGTAGGCCTAAAAGCTTGATCTGTGAGGGCAGACCTGGGTCCTAGGGCTATAGGAGCTAACCTAGACCTTGAGTCCACAGAGGCAAGTCCTTCAGTGTGATTCTGTGGAAGCTGACCCAGAAACTAGGATCTATTAAGATGGGCCTGAACCCTCAGTGTACTGGACTGTGGGGTCTAGCCTGGCTCCTGGTTAGGCCTGGAGCCTTTGATTGCAGATGTCAGCCTGGTGCCAGGGGTTCCATTCTGGTGCTGGAGCATACCTGAAACCTGGTTTTGGGCTGGTGTGGAATCATAGGGCTGGGCGGCCTTGAACCTGTACAGGCTGGTCTGGAGGTTAAGTTTGCCAGGTGTAGGCATGTTGATTTGAACTGTTGGGCTATCCTGGGGCCTGGTAATAGGGTTAGCCTGAAGCCTGGGGAAATGGAGGCCAGGCTAGTGATCAGGATGAGCTAGGGCCTGGAGCCATTTGGCTGGGCTTGGAGTCTGAGTCTTTTTACCTTCCCTCTTAAAACAAAGATAGTTCTGGAAATGCATTGGTAGCATGCCAGCAACTTTACTTCCAAGAATTCAGTGACTGAGACCTATCTAGGTGACAGACTTCCCCAACCTCTACCCTTGACCAAGAGGGTGTGAAGGCCTTGGGTAGCTGTCTTTGTCCATTTTCTGTTGCTATAACTGAACACCACGGATTGACTAATTTATAAACGGAGATTTATTTAGAAGCTCATAGTTCTGGAAGTCCAAGAGCATAGGGTCAGCATCTGCTTGTCATCTGGTAATGACTTCTTGCTGGGCTCTGACATGGTGGAGAACATCACACAGCAACACAGAGCAAGCTTGCTTACTTGAATTTGTCTTCCTCTTCTTACAGAGACACTAATGCCACCATGGGAGCCCAACCTTCATGACCTCACCTAATCTTCACTACTGCCCAAAGACCTAACTTCCAAATACTATTAACATACGATTGGGGATTGAGTTTCACGAGTTTGGAAGAAAAAACACCCAGACTGGCAGTGGTTCAACTTCACTTTACTGAGATTCTGTCCACAGTAAAAATTATTCCTGAGAATAAGACTGTGTTGGCAAGATTCTTAGACTACTGTCAGTGCTGGGGAGGTGTGATAAGATAGATAGTTTTTACATCACTGGTAGGATTGCAATTTTATACCAGTCTTCTGGAAAGTAATTTGGTAGAGTATAAAAAAAGGCTTTAAAAATGTCCATTCTTTTTGGTCTAGTTTTTATATTTATAGAAGTCTGTCTTAAAGAATTAGAGAAGTGGACATGGATTTATATTCAGAACTCTTAGCTGCTGTGTTCATTATAATAGGGGAAAGTTGGAAAGAATTTGTCTAAATGTCTTATGTAAGAATGGCCAATCATGTCAGTTACATAGCTTTGCAGCCAACTTTTGAATGCCTAAGGATATGGAGAAATGCTCATGAGTTATTGTTGATTGAAAATCAAAGGACAGCATTTCTTATGCAATATGATCCATTATTGAAAAGGGGAAAACCAAAAATGTTTGTATATGATAAAAAGGCCAAAGGTAAATATGGCAAATTATCAGCGGTGGGATTCTGGGTGATTTGTATGTTCTTTTTAAAAGTTGTCCATTTTTTTTTTCAAATTTTTTACAGTGAATTTTAAAAAAATAGATGTAAAAATGGGTCTGCATACCCTATGCTGTACCCCAAACGACTGCTATTTTTCACAACTGGTAAGCAAAAAGTGGTTTACATTAGGGTTGGTTGAATTTGCCGATTATCTTATTGTGCAAATGGACTTCGAATTTTGCAGCCTTTCACATTGTGCAGTGAGCAAAGCTACCGCTGCCAGTGCTGGCATAGGAGCTCCAGCGCGGCCCATCTGCTGCTCAAGCTCGTTTTGGCTGACACAGATTTATTTCATTTCATTCCTTAATTTGGCAACATTTTCTCTTTTCTTATTATCATAGCTGGGATGCAGAACCATGTTACTCATTTTGTTTACCACTTTGTTGTTTTCTTTTGTTCCGTTTTGTAAAGAGGAAGAAGCCAACAATGGGAATTCTGTCTCCTGAAAAATGCAGTGCTTATCCTTTGGGGTCTTGGGCACGTCTTGCTAAAGGGCTGTTTCTGACACTTGCAAGCCATTTCAATTGTTATAAGAAGTAGAAAGTGTCTTGGTGTATTTTTCAAAGAGCTTAATGTTTCTTTTCCCACCTCCCACCATTTGAAGATTTGGAAATGCTTCCAAATAGGAATTATAAACATTAGCCTTAAGCTAAGCTCTCTCCATCTGGTACTTGGTGCATTTTTTAAACTGAAGGCTCATGTTATTTGTTTAATCTTCATCAGAAACACGTGGGTTGAGACTTAACTGCCCCAAGCACCTTACACTTAAGAAGGGATTTTCCTCTGAATTGGTTTGTATCTCAAGGAGTCCTGGGAGCCAGAAATTTTTTCAAGTGAAACTTTTAGAACTATTAGAATCACCTTAGAGATTTCTTGAATGGATTTGGTAGGATATAGATGGCTGTTGCCTGAGAATCCTCTTTAAGTTTGACTTTTTTTGTTTTGAGGAGACATTCTTCTTAAGATTTTGTGCTACTTTTCTCTCTAGGTTACCCTGAAGAGACTTATCCAATTTATGACCTTTCAGACTGTATCAAGCATAGGCAAGAAACAATCCTGGTGGATTACCCTGATCCAAAAGAGCCCTCTGCTGAAGAAATAGCTGAAAGAGTGGGGGTGCTGGAAGAAGAATCAGACCATTTGGGCTGGGAACGCCTGCCCCTTGACTCTAGAGTCCAGGAAGATAATTCTTTTACCTCATGTTACCCAAAGCCAGAAACATGTTCCTGCTGTTTTCATGAAGATGATCCTGTTGTCTTGGCAGAGAATGCTGGATTCAGTGCAGATAGCTACAGTGACGAACAAGAGGAAAGCACCAAAGAATACCGGAGCCGAGACTTTAGTGATGAAGGGTTGGGCATGAGCCCTGATAAAACATGTATAGGTGGCATGCTGAGGAAGCGTAACCCCCAGGGTTTGGAGTGAAAACAGCCAGTTGGTGAAGTATCCATTTCTCTAGACCTAAGGTGACCTTTTTCTCCTTTCTGATTTCATTCTTGGCCCTGTGCCCTGTAATTCCTTCTCTGTGTTCAAATGTCATAGCTGTTGGGCCACTACCACGGCTATCATGTATCCTTCCTGGTGCTCATACATCTGTCACCTGGTAAAACGTAGACATTAGTGTGAACACAAGACAGCTTTGCTCTCTTCCTGTCTTTCCCTCACCAAGAAGTTGATGCATTGAGTAATTATATTTGGTCCTTCATAATCACAGATGGGACCATTCAGGTAAAGGTCTAACTCTTCCTCCTAGGAGTAACAAATGGTTTACCTGTGAACAAACATCGACTTACAGATGATGAAGATTTAAGGCTGCAAGAGTGAAGATTTGAGACTCTTTGGTGCCTTATTCTTTGAGGCTTGACCAGGTTAATGGCTTCCTGGGGCGAAGAGAATTGTTTGTGGGGATGATGGATGCCGAGCAGGAGTGAGACATTGCTGACTAAGCTGAAGCCTCTTGCTCTTGTTGAAGTTCTTTCTAGAAGCACCAAAGAGGTTTCAGACATTTTCTCCAGTGTAGTGGGAGGCTCCCACTCACCTGAGGATGAGTCCACAGATCCAGTATTTGGAGACTGTTCCAATAGCACCTTGATGTCTAGCTTTCTTTATCCCTATTCTGCTTAACAGAACTGCCAAGCCCAGAAACACCTTTGTACATTGGGTATGCAGTGGCCAGAGGAAGCTTTAAATAGACACTGTAGTCCCTTATCTGGAGGACCACAGTTTGAAGCTGTCAAAGACTACCATGAGTAGTAATCCTGCTGTGAGGAGCTCAGGCCCAGGAGCCTGAAACAGGGGAGAGAAGCTGTGCACATAAGGACTGTCTTTGCTTAGAAGCTGTTTCTAACCTTTGGGAAATCTGTCCTCACAACCATGTGAAATGAAACAGAAATGAGGGCTTAGCTTGGATACAAAGTGGCACCACAACAAGGTAGTTGCTGTGTTTGTTGCAGAGACAGATGTATCAGTGCCTGGGTGAAAGAAACCATTTAGTATTTAGTATTTGATATTTGGGCCTTTTGAGAAAGTTGGGGAAAGTAGGAAATGAATAGGATGGGGAGGATTTTTTACCATAAAGCCCTTTCTAAGCCATCATTTTTCATGTGTCTTCATGAGACAAGGTGGCACCTATGAGGTCTAACATGAAGGATGAGCAAATTCATAGTTTACTGTAAGACCTGAGAGTTTAAACAGGGCATGTTTCAAAAGACATTCCCAGTTATGAAATGGGGAAGGCTCAAAAACTAAGAAATTATGTAAAAGTAGATACAACTTTTAGAATTCCATTATGCTTGGCACGTGATGCCAGGAGCATAGCTAAAACCACATATAAGCATATAAACTGCTCTGAGAAGGTATAGGATCATATTAAGTTAATCTGTCAGCTCCTAAGAGGTGTTAGGTGGTAGTTGAACAACAAAAGTCACTGAACATTGAACCTGTAGAAAGTGTACTGCATTGCATCTGTCTCTAGAGAACATTTGATTCATATTATAAAGAATGTAGCTTAAAATGTACTGAAGACAATACAGACATGATGTTAACCCTAAAGGTGAAAAATGATATAAGTAGTCTTCACTGTTTTGATAATTTTTTTATGTGATTTCCTTTTCATTCATCAAGAAAGGCTGATTTGTGAAGAGCTCTCGCCGGGTTTCTGGTTCAGATTTCTTTCTTTGCCTTAGATACCATTCCCTTATTAGTGATAAGCAGTCCTTTCTTTCCTGTTCATTCATTCAGCAGACAGCAGCTCAGTGCTGGGTACTGGCAACAGGCTCAATTCCTGCCTTTCAAAACTTAATAGGGGAGACTGACAGATAAAATCTACTACAAACCTATATAAAGGCTTAAGATGAATTCTGCATCCAGATAAAAACGGGTAACGATCCTTCAGCATACTCTAGCTGTTGCGGCAACACTGTAGGCAGTCGGAACCTTGGTTTCCTCGGGTACAAGTCCAGGTCTCCGGGTTGTCAGCATTCAGTGACATAATTGGTGCATCTTTACAGCATTGCTTCTAACTCACATAATGGTAACTGTTTATTATATAATGGTTTATGCTGTGACTGAGGTGTGGGTTGAAAACTGTAGGAGCATAGAGGGAAGGAAATTTTTGCAAAAGTATTTCCAAGAAACTTGGCAGAGGAAGAGGACCTAGTGGCAAGCCAAGAACTTCTTGAAGTCGGCAAAGAGAAAGGACCTTTTTGGCAGAAAGAATAATGTTAAAAGTAGTAAAGTGAAAATATGTATGTTCGGGTGGTTTGATGAACATATAATTCTTTACATAGTTCTTGCTAGAAATACTGCACCCTAGTTGGGGATGGCTCTTGCCCTAAATCTTAGTTGGTTTATATATCAAGAATGTATTTATGCCGGGTGTGGTGGTGCACACCTGTAATCCCAACACTTGGGAGGCTGAGGCAGGAGGATGGCTGTGAGTTCGAGACCAGCCTGGGCTACACAGTGAGTTCCAGGTCAGTCTCAATACATAGTGAGACCATGTCTCCAAAAAACAAAACAAAACAAAATTTATGCATTTATAGATCAGAGATTTTAGTGTACCTTTCATTTAGGGTTTAGACAGTCCTTTCTTAACTTTCCAGAATTATTTTATCCTTTAGGAATGACAATTTTAAAATGTAAATGCAATCCAGGGGGTCCAGAATCAGAGGTCTGGGTCTTGTTGCTCTGGTCTTCATTTCTTAGAACTCAGGGGCTATTATCATCTTGCTGAGTCCCCTAGACCTGGTGACCACTCTGTGCATTATGCCAAAATACACAGTTTACAACCCTGGGGCAGATGGCTGACTAAGGGGCAGCTGCATCATCTGGGACCATGCTGGACAGAGCAGGTGGGTGACCATCCAGGTCACAACAGGAGCACTGAGAAAGCATCTTAGGAGCTCCAGAAGCTGGAACGAGGGAGGTAGACTGAGGAGGGAAGAGGTATGTAACCTCTAGAAATATGGCCTGTGAACCACATTCCTTGCACCTCCTGTGGCTTAGGTGATCACCTAACATATAGTCCAAACTAGGGCACTTAGGAAAAAAGTTTAATAGTAATTATTATGCCAAGATATTAGGTATAAACAAGGACTAAACTGGATATATGGTCTATGGCCATTTAAGACTTTTCTTCAATCTGATGACTAAAAAAAGAATTCCTTCCTTTTTAGAATGTCTTACTCTTTCCCATTGGGGGGGTCACAGAAGATAGGCCATAGTTCAGGTAGGAAATACCCTTGGTCATATCCAAATTCTTGAATATGGCCAAGTGTGGTAGTGCACACCTGTAATGCCAGCTACTAGGGAGATCGAGGCAGGAGGATTTCAAGTATGAGGCCAGTCTGGGCAGCATAGCAAGATCCTTCTCAAGATTTAAAAAAAAAAAAAAGCTGAGGATGTAGCTCAGCTGCTTGCATTCCCGAGGCCCTCAGTTTCATCCTCAGCACTACAACAAAACAACTCTGGAGGAATAAAGAAACGCACTTATTACCCTAATCTTAAATTCCCTTCTAACTGGACTATTTGTATTCCAAAGGAGAACTCAGTATGTCATTTATTCAGCAATACTGAGAAAAACATGGACACACCTGTGACTTTGCCCTGACCATTAAACCTTTCTAAAATGTACTTACCTCTCACCATTTTCTTATACAAAGAAGTAAGACCAGTGCTTCCTTTTGATTATTCTTTAATTTCTTTGAGCACCAGTTTCCTCACTTGTGAATGAGGAATAAACGCCTTAGGACTGTTAGGGTGAAATGATCTGCCTTTTATAAAGTGTATGTCCCTGGACAAAGCAAATGGTAGGTGCTGAGTGCCAGCATCAGCATCATCACTGTGTGTCCTCTAGTCCTGTGCTGCTGACTTGCACCTGACATCTTCTAAGGCTGCCCTGACTGCCAGATATGGCCAGGTGCATCCTATAATCCTGGGGGACTTTAGTTGTGACGTCTCCTTGCTCAGGATCATACTATTAGCTTTCTCATGCCTTGGTTCCAGCTAGATCTGCAGCCTCCTATGTACTTGGCTTCACATCTGCTACAGGCTGAAAAAGATTCCCGTGCATGTGGAAGTCTTGTTTATATGGATGAGGCTCTGAGCAAGGATGGAGAAGTCAAGTGGCTGGGTCCATGTTATATATGTTAGTTGGGACTTTTCCAGCCCAAAGCCCTGTTCTGTTCTTTAGGGCTAAGCCCACTGAGGATACATGAGAACCACCAGGAAGATCCATCAGTTGGGATCACTGACCCTAAAGGACATCTTTAAGTATCTTTAAACCCCACCATTTTCTCAGCTCTTCGCAGCCTCTGGGTGTGGCTCTGATGGTCCATAAACTTGAAAGGCACAGCCAAAGGGAAGCAGTGTGGACCCATGTCATCAGTTTTAAACAAGCTCTGATCTCTGTTACTACCGACCTAGCCATTAGAGAGTCCTAGGAATGAACAGGGTAGAAAAGTGTTTCAGAAAAGAGGCATGGTTTTTTCCTTTTATGGAGGAAAAAAAAGACAGCAGTGTTGAAACAATTCAAGTTTAATTTGTTGATACATGTCTGTACTTAGACAATAAATTCTACAACATACATAATGTCAAGATGGGAAAATACCAAGTTTGTCATTGCACATACCAATAAATAAATACATACATTTGCTTCAGAATACCAAAAGTTTATTCAAAAAAGTCACTTAATAAAAGCACAGTTTTGCAAGTTTGTCTAAAACTCCAGATAATTTGAACAAAAATAAAATGTCTGACCACTCCAAAATTGGAAAAGACAATCTTGTGCAAATAGACATACACATTCTAGGCATTATGAAAACTGGCTAAAATATGTGTTCCCAGCAAGAAAAATGTTACTCATCCTGACCAAGTCCCCCTCTCACCAAATACAGCAATGAAGAGGCCAGAGTTGGCTTCCCCTTCTAAGCCATTCTGAATTGTTCAGTAGGAAATTCTAGACCTCAGCCTCATTTCCAGCTCTGCCTGGACCTTGATAGGTGGAAGGAGGCACAGGAGAACAGAGGTGAGGGGCGCAGTGTCTCTTAAAGAAGGCACAGTGATGAGCTTGAGAATGTAGTGATGAAAGCAAGAATTAACTCTCACCCTGATTCCTACAGCTAGCATTGACAGTCCAACATCTTCATTTGCAATTAAAACAGACCTAGATGTGCTCAAAATCACATAGCTACCAAGTGCAGAACTTTGTGTAAGATACCTGGTTGGAAAATGCAAAAACCAAATTTGTCCCAGTGCTTCTGCCCCTCACCTGCATATCTTCAAATGACAGAAAATTGCAAACAAGATACAAAGGACAGGTGGCCATAAGTTTAAACAAGAGCCTATTCCTAAGCCAGGGCCCAGAGTAGCCAGGCCCAAGTCTCAGGACTAGACACCACAAGAAAGCACATTTATTCAGCGCTGAAGGCCACCTATAATCCTGAGGTCCCACAAGAATGTTGCTGCTGGGGCAGGGAGTTATGGAAAAAGAAGATTCCAGGATTACCTCAGAAAGGAACACTAGGACATCCATCTAACAAATAGGATTTGTGCTTGCATAACAGAGCTGTGGCTGTGACTGTCCCAGTATCTCCCCACTGCATGCCCCAGCTGAGCAAAGCACAGATCTTTTCCTTTGTAATCACCTCTATTGCTAGTTAAGTTTAGGACTACTTCTAAATAAATGGTTAAATTTATTTAGAGGCAAATTTCCTATTTCCAGAAAGAAAAAAAAAAACTGCGTATACAGTTTTAAAACTACTTGTCACTGAATAAGGTAGGCTCTAAGAGTTTTTCCCTATCCTGTCATTAACATACTCCTTGGCTCTCAACACATATCCTCACCATGGGTCTGGGCTTTACAGGCTTCCCCTGAACTAACGTCATGATTTTTAAGGCACCATCACTAGAATATATTCAGATTCATCTACAGGTATGTGTGTGACACACCAGTTTCTTCAGGTGATGCCAAGAGGGAACTGAAAGAACACATTTCTTGGATGGTTTCCCCTCACTCAGAACCGTGGAAGAAAGAGCTGCTAGTTGTCCAAATATCCTCCTGTTCACAGAGCAGGAAATGAAGGGACCAAATCCACAGATGATCATTACCTCCTTATACCTTTCCTACTCACCCTCAGAAATATCATCAGAAACCTCAACTGATCGTTTGCAGGTTGCCCTTTTCCCCAGAAACACACAGACATACAGACACACACATGGACACAGAGCACCTTGGAGCCAGAAGGAAAGAAAAGCTAGACCTGGAAAGGAGTTAGGAACGCCAACTTCACCACTCTGCAGGGGAACTTGTTTGGGGCAGAGAATGTAGAGTTTGGGGGTACAGAGCAGGAACAAGTTGCAGGGGAGTTGCCTAAGGTCCCAGCTGCCCAACACTCTTAAAGAATGTTTATCCCATCATCAATTTACTGTGCAACCACGGACCATCTAGGCAGATGGTGTGAAGGGCAAGAACTCTTACTGTACAAGAGGCTGAACCCAGGTGGTTTCCAGGCCCTGGCAGCTTTGTGAGTCCATGGACCTGTGGCCAGAAAGGCAGTGGTCAAGGAAAGGCAGCATCACCAGGAGTGGAGTCTAAAGAGCTGGCCTGTGACCTGGTTTGCTTGTCACTTAATGTCCAAAAGAGGGTTTTGTGCTGAGAGTACTCTTCTGCGCACCCAGGCTAGACAGCTCAGCCTGTTTCCTGACCCTACTGAAACAGCCAGTTGTCCCCCTTTTCTGAATGTTAAAGCAGAGAGCAGAGGCCAAGAGTTTTCCATTGTGCTTCTGATTTTCCCACTCTGCCACTAAGAACTTCTCTCACTAGAAACCAGTCAGCTTGTTCTACCTTAAAATCACAGACCCAGGAAACAGGTGACCAGACTTTACAGATCATCTTATTTCCATCATCTCTTATGTCAGCAGGTCCCCTTTTCTTAGAGTTAGGGAAGGAGGGCCAAAGGACTACAGAAAGGAGGATGGCACCATGGTATTTCATAGAGAAAAACACCAGCCTCGCCTGCCTTGCAAGCGCAAGGTCTCGAGTTCGATCCCCGGTACCAAAAAAAGGAAAAAAAAAAAAAAGAGAGAGAGAGAAACACCAGCCTTTCCCAGTATAGAAAGTCCTAGAAACCAGACCACGTTAACAAAGCCTGTGTCAGAGGTGCATGGCTCAGGGCAGATCCTGCTAAATCAGATCTGTCTTGCTTTTAAGCACCCAACATAGGGAAATCTAGACTACAAAGAAATGAGAGCATAGTGCTTCCACTTAAGTCAAAACACCTTGTTCACCTATAGTGCCTCACTAATATGTTTAAAATTATTTTCAGTTTTTCAAAAATTTCTACCTAGCCTTTTCAAGCTTACTACTCTAAAGCAAAGTCCAGCCGGTATTTGATTCCCATAGATTTCTGACCTAAGAAGTCCCTAACAGGGTCCTTGGAGAGTTCCCACACCTGCAAGGCAGATGGTGCCATCCAAAGAGAAGAAGCAGTGGCAGTGGAGGAAGCAATCAGGCCACCCCAAAACAGCTTTGCTTCCTGTCTCCTAGACAGAGATGTGCAGCAGCCTTGCTGAGGTCTGCCCCCATCGGCCCCCTCGTGGAGGGGCTAGGCACAGGCCAATCCTGGTCAGACTGATGTACAAAAAGACACACGACTTCCAACAAGGAACTGCCCAATTCCCTACTGAAATGGTTTCAGTCTTACAAATCAACCGTTTTTAAGTCTCAAATCCAGGTGAATTGCATGCAGAATAGGCCCCAGAAGGCCAGAGAGCAGGAGATACTACTTTCTTAGGAGGCAGGGGGAACATAAAATCAAGGGAACTTGAGGTTCTGAACTCTGCCCTTAACAAACCAGGTAACCCAAGGCAAGTCCTATTCCCTGAAAGTGACAAGTTGATCCTCCCTCAGGGTTCTACTACCTCTGATCTCTTGTGGCTCTAAAATATTCTGTACTCTCCTTACCCTGTCCCATCCCCTCCAGAGAACCACCACAAAGTAGCCCTCACCAACCACGCTTTGACTGACAGCAGTGGGAGCTGAGAGAGCATGCAAAGCTGGGTCTCTCCCAGAAGGAGAGTCTTCCTTGAGCATGCCATGGCTTACAAATGGTACATCTCCAGCGAAGGCCAGTGACTCGATCTCATCTGTTACCAGGGGTTGTGCTGGGCTTCTGGGCAGAGAGCTCCTGGGCCAGTAGGCAAGGCTCCAGGACAGCCCTGCTGTGGGGAGTCTGTTGGTGCACCACCTGCAGGCCTCATCCTAAGACATTTGGCCATGAGAGCTGGGTTCCCAGTGCCCCTGAGACAGAACAAACTTGGAGAAACAAGTCAGCTAAACTCTCAGCCACAGCTGATTCCCACAGCCACAGACAGCCAGGCTCCTGCAATCCCAGCAAGGTCCTGCCACTCGTCTGTCCCCTCCACCCCCCAACTTCCTGTGGGCCTGGAGGAGGCCTTCTGAAGTTGCAGGGCTTTCTGCAGTTTGAGGGGCCAGGCTAGGACACCAAGCCCCTTGCTACGTGAAGTTGGTGTGCCCTGTATGCACGTATTCGTGTTCATATATATCCATGTATTCTCCCCTCCTCCAGTTCTTCTCCTTCACTGAGCCCAACCTGGTGGGGCACCCACTGTCTTCTGACCCCTGGGATGAGTGAATGGCTGGGCTACAGCAGCCCTGCTTGTGCTTCCTCCCCTTCCATAGCCCATCGGGCGGGCCTTCCCAGCTGAGGAGGTCACCCAGCTTGGCAAACGTCACTGCAGCAGAGTACTAACGCAAGAGTGGGGGTGTGTGTTGCTCTTCGGCACAGAAGGAATCACTCTTATCCCTTCGTACCCACCCACTAGTCCTTGCCTCAGCATCAGAGGCAGGGGAGTCAGTTCCTGGCTGGCTAGGCTGGGGAACCCGCTGAAGGCCAAAGCTTCATCTAGCAGAAGGCCTATGAACAGAGGGCAGGCAGGGCTGTCTCCACGGGTAGGCCGGCAAGCTCCACTCCGGGCTGGGCAACCCCAACAGGCGAGGAAGCCTCTATTCGCAGGCCAGCTTGCTGTCGAAGCTGGACAGAGCAATGGCAAAGGCCTGCAGTGCACACAGCGGGTAGTTGTAATCCATGGTGAACACATCCTCTGCTACCCGGCCAAACTGCATGACGATGTAGTCCGCTGGGACCAGGCACAAGCGTGGACACAGAGAGACAAAAAAGGGCAGGAACAGTGGAGGGAGATAGGTAGGACAGACAGACACCCAAGCCACGAGAAAGAAGAAGAAGCAGAAATCCCAAGGGAAGTAAGCCCATTGGGAGAAGTGGCAGGAGAGAGGCAGAAGATGGCAAAGGAGAGAGATGCACATGAACACCGGGAGACAGGGGAGAGAAAAGTCCATTTAAAGGGTATTCCCATGCCGCGGCTCTGCCGAACGCACAGAATCTAGGACCAGGGCTCCAAAGATGGCTCTTCCAGGGCTTCCCAGTCATTACGGTTAGAAAGTGTTTCACATCTAATCGTAAGCCATATAGGCCACAGTGCTCGCTTCGCCAGCACATACGATCAGCCACACAGGCCGCTTCCACCTTCGCTGAGCTCAACCCCAAACCAAGGGCCCAGGTGTCACACTGACAGTATGAGAGGGGCAGAAACACTCACGGTCATTGCCATGGATGATCTGGAAGTTCTTCACAGAGGCCTGTGTGACGCGCCCGTGGAAGTTGAGTACGTAGGACTGTGTGTCGTCATTCCAGACAGGGGTCTTGTTCTGCAGCTCGATGATACTCTCTGTGTTCTTATTCTGCCATCGGGCTAGCAGTGTCTCATGTTCCTGGGAGGGCAGCCTCGCCTGAGCCAGGCCTAAGCCATGGCGTCAAGACCACCCCAAAGAGGGATCTTTCCCGGGAATGGGGCTTCTCTGACCTCCAGGGCTTCTCAAAATATATGGCCCAGGCATACACACACGCCGGAGTTCTGCCCTTAGATTTCATAGAGACGAGAGGTGATGGGAAGGGGTACAGACTCACGTTTCGGGGACGGATAGAGACTCTCTCGTGGACCATGTTCATGCCAGGGACAATCACACTCATCTTCCGAGGCCCCTTAAAGCCTAAGACGTTTGTCTCCTAGGAAACAGAACTCAGCATTGGCCACCTGAAGATAGTACTTACCTCCTAGAGAGCCTGTGGAAAGGCAATAAAGACGAAGAGTTCTTTTGTACCGTCTCCACTTAAAAGCCGAACTAACAGGCCTTAAGCTTCCCCCCAGAGCCGAGCTCCCAGATCTCTATTCTGTCGAAACTAGCTCCTCTTACAGCCTGACTTGCTTCAGTTAATGGAAACAGTTCTCCCCTCTGCTCGAACTATTTGGAGTCATATTTGACTCCTTTCTTTCTCTCATAATCCACTTCTATCCCATCCACAATTTCTGTTGCTCTGCCTTCATTTTACATCTAGAACTCCCCCTCTGTTCGCCACCATCTCTCACTTAGATCACGGTCACAGCCCAAATGGAATCCTTGTTTCTGTCCCTGCCACACACACGCCCCAGCTCGTCCTTCTCATCATCTGTTTTCAGTTCCGTAGCAAAGAGGCATGTAAAGTTAGCTGTTGTCCTCTGCTACTCAAAACCCTCCGGAGCCACCAGCTGAAGGTCTATGTTGTTTCTCCTCCCATGATCCGGTCCCGATTCCCCAGACCCTTACTGTGTTGCCATCACTCCTCCATGCTGGGCATCCGTGACTTTCGCTCTGCCTGTGTCCCACGACCTGTACATGGCAGGCTTTCACTCCCACGGGCCTTTACTCAAGAGCTACCTCCCTGCCATCCTTCCTAAAATGGCACATATGCAGTGCTACCTGGCTTTAAAAGATCCATTTGTTTTATGATTTGGGAGAAGACGGCTGCAATTGTGTTTGGGTGGGGAAGAGGGCCATGGTCGTGTCTGTCACCCAACACGGAGTTTGCCAACAGAAGCAAAATTTTGCCAAACACTTTGTTTGCAAACAGAAGCATTCATGAACTGGGGTGTTACTGTATTTTTAAATGTTTTCTTCTTAGGATTGATCAGGAACACATTTCACATGCACATATTTTATGCAGCTCGCCCTTTCCACCAGGGTTTTAAGTTCCTTCAGGGTATATATGTACCTGTTCACCACTTCCTCACTGCCTTAAACACTCTGGAATACAGGTAAATGCTTGGTTAATGTTTAAAAGACTCGGGCTGCCTCTCCCAATTTGACCAGCAGGTGGCAGCATGGGATCATGCAAAATAGCTATGGAATTCCAACAGCCTGCAAGGGCCGAAGTCCAGGTTGATGGGACACCCATCCCTCATTTTTCAAAATTAACAGATCAGAGATAGATAGAAATCCCCTGTATTTATATTCCAGTTTGGTTGGTGTGCTACTACCAAGTGACCCAAACACTGAACTTCAGTTTCCCATCTATAAAGAAAAGGTCAAACATTTTACAGGACAACTATGTAAGGGCCTTCGAGCCATGCAGGACCTGACATTCCAGAGGGGTGATACGAGGAAACACAGACAAGAACCCAGGTCCCCTACCCCTTCTGTCTAGGAGACTCCAAGGCTGGTCGTCTAGAGCCAGAACCCACGAGACAGAAGACCTGATGTAGGCTGAGCCAGAAGACAGGAGGGAAGGGCCACGGCTCCTGCCCCACGCAGGGATCACTGTGAAGAGGGTAGCCCCCCTCCACCTAACCTAGACTCCCCACTGAGATACATGGGCTGGCACATCGGGCGCCAAGTCCTGAGCTTTGTCTAACTTGGAGACCCGAGACCCAGGAACCCTGGACTTACATAGCATACAGCTGCCAGCTCCTGACGCAAGGTCCCACTTTCCAAGGTAGAGGATGATGCTTTCTGAGGATTGACTCCATTGTCATAAACGGTGAACTTGGTGCCCATCAGGTTGGACCTAAAGGAAAAAACAATCAGTATAGGGTCCTGTGCCTTCTGCTCTGGGGCAGGAACAGCTCACCATCTGTCCGGTGAGAAGTCTGCCAGGCATTCTGGACTGGGCCAGCGGGAAACCTAGGGGCACATTGCTCTCTGCAATCCACATCTCTGAAGGTACTTCATAAAAAGGGCCTCTCACTTCAGTGAAGGAAAACTGGGGAGGTCAGTCAGGATTCCAGGATTCCCTGTGGGAACAGCTGCTGCCCCCTGGGGGTGAGCAAACAGAATAGCATCTAGGAAGGTAAGGGATGGGTGACTGCCATTCCAGCCCCTTCTCCAGCATTAGTTACTCCCCTCGTCTTCATTTGTTAGGCCCCATCTGCCACTGTGCACCGCAGCAAACTACCTCCCCGTGAGGTCTGGCTAAGAGCCTCCCCACAGCTCTACCTCCTCAGGTAACCAAGATTCCCCTCCTTCCAGGGGTAACTTTCCACCCTGGCCCATGCAGCCCCACAGCTTTTCCGCAGTGGCCTGAACCACCAGTGACATCCTGGGTTTGTAAACCATCACTCTTGCTGGGGAGCAGCTTAGTGCGAGTCTGGATCTAAGCCGGGCACAGACTGGGCCTGTGGTTGAATCTGACAGAGAGGATCCTGGGAGAAGATCCAAGCCCGGCCTAGATCTTCAGGAACAGGCGATGCCTTCTACAGATCCTGCCCTGCTCTTCCCTCCCCTCCCATCTGGCCTTCTTGGGGAGTGCTGGTACCGCAGTTTCCCGATGTAGCTGTCCCCTCCTCGAGACAGGTCCGTTGGGTCCACAGAGATGAGGTAATTGGAGGTTTTACTCTTCTTTCTCTTCCTTCCCGCCAGGAGGAACACCTTGGGGGTGGAGCAAGGTCATGTCCCGAGGCCAGTCTGGTCCACACACGATCACAACCGTGGGTGCCACTCCCATGAATGGCTCCCTTGCTTCAGCCCCCACCGCGTGCATGTGCCGGCAAGCACGTGCGAGTGCCGGGAGCAGGGCGCAGGCTTTTGTTTCTCTCTCAGGAACTGAGGGGCCAGGGCTGGCTGAGGCTTCTAGTCACATGCTAGTCCCTAAGCCAGTGATAACAAATCGTTCAGAGCTTTCAGTGAACAAACAGCCCGCCAGAGCAGGCGAGCCACAGCTTCACCACCACTGCCCCTGAGCCTGCCTAGGTGAAAATGCACACAGAAAGCAACCTCACCTTCTTCCCATCCTCACGGTCCAGGTGCAGGAAGTAGGTGGGGTACATGCCCCGGTCCATCCCCTTCTTGTCCCGTGTGATTCGGCATTTGATGGTGATGCCCTGGGGGGCCGGCCTGAGTGCAAATTCCTCAAGATCCTGGACCTCCACATCCACTGGTGGCTCTGGAGCTGTTGGGCTGGGGGCCGAGGCTGCCTCCTGCCAAGGAGGGACAGTGGGAGCCTAAGCCCTAGGGACCTTAAGGGGCAACACTGCTGGTCTAGGGTCCAAATATGCCTCGTGCTGTGGGAACAGGGCAGGATCCCTGGACGTGCTGGCCCATACTGCGCTGGGGTCGGGGGCTATCCTCCCAGCCCTTCCCTCTCCTCAGTAGGCCCTGGGGCAGAGACTGGAATACGGGCAGGTTCTCAGGTGTCATCCTGCCCACTCCAGCCCCCTGACCTGGCTGAAAAGATTAGGAGCCAGGGTAAAAGGGCCTAACAGAGAAGCTCCTGGCAGACACCGAGTCCCGCTGACGATGTCTTCACACCATCAGGTATCACCTCCCCTGGATGGACACCAAACACTGCCATCCAACCTCCCGCAGTGGACTGAAACTCCTCACTCACCCTGGTAGACTTCCTGCTTGTGGCGGAGCTAGGGCGGGTGTTGCTGTTCAGCTGGGAGGAGCCAGAGCTGTTCTCATCCTCATCCTCCTCTTCCTCGTCAAAGCTCATGCTACTGGAGATGCCTGGAGTGAGCAGAAGAGCAGAGTGAGGAGGATCTCCATCCTCCACCAAAATACAGGGTCACACCCAGACAAACGTGCTGACACTGATTCACTTGCACCTGACACACATATACACACAGCCACATGTACACACACTCATGTTCACACACGCACACTTCCATGCATCCAGAAAGACACAAGGAACATGTTCTCTCAGGTGCACACGAGCTGGGGCAGTCACAATCCTCAGAGTGCATCCCCCACCCAGTTTCAGCTCAGTCCCTGCATCTGGCCCTCTCCTCTCTAGCAGTCACAGTGCCTGTCTGCACATCAAGGCCTGCACTGAGCTGAACCTGCATGAGGAATCTCTACTTCTGACCCCTACTAAAGGCCTTGCCTGGCACAGGCCATAAACCACCAGGCAAAGGGCCTCAGCTTAGCACCCAGTGGTGTGGAGGACCCAGTGACCCCTCATCTTTCCCCTGCCTGCCCTGAGCCTCCATCTGAGCGGCCCTCCACTGCCTTCTCTGCCTGCAATGCTGCCCACTCCCGAGTTGTCTCAACAGCTTTCTTCAGGAAGCTGCCCTGGGGCAGATCCTCAGTGTGTGGCACTGCCAGGCTTCTCCCCTCTGCACCATGCACCAGGGGCTCTCTAGGGTGGCACTCATGCTGAAGAATCTGTTTGGCAGCAGGTTTCTAGGGAGGACAGCCCGGCCCTGATCCTCCTGGATCATCAGACAAATGAGGAACTTTCAAAAGGAGCTTCTTCTAAAAAGCAAAAGAGAAAGGAAATCTGCCCCCAAATCTGGGCCTCTTGGGAATAGACATAGCTGGGCTACGGGCTGATCATCCGTTTATATTTCTTTTACCTAATTTGGCCTTCTCTGGGTCTCTGTCCTACAGCTTCTCACCTGTCTCTAAGTGTGTCCTCCCCTGTGGCCAGGGAGGATGCGGCCAGGCACAGGAAGAGGCCAGGCTCTCAGAGAAGGGTCTGCCTAAGGACCTGGGACTGAGCTTTGGTCCCAGCTGGGCCCCCTTGGGGCTCACCCTTCCTCTGCATCGTGGCACGGAGGTCCTGCCCGCTGGGCCGTGCGCCCCCACCGGCTGCTGTCTCCCCTGTGTCGTGGTCCGACTGGCCCACAGTCAGGATCTGCACTGGGCCTTGGGCCTCAGACTTGTCTTCTGCCGGTGCTGCTGGCCCGCTGGTGCCTGCAGGCCAGACACTCCTGAGTCACATCCAGGAGGGAGAGGAGGGTCTGGGTTCTCAGACGTCCATGAGGAGGGTGAGGGATGAGTGAGGAAAGAGACCCTCTGCAAAACTTTATTTGCACAACTGATTTTTAAAAAACTAATGACTGCTGTCAGCCTGTTAATGATTGGTAAGCTGTGAAGGGACACAGGCTTCAACTCTTCTGTTCTTTCCCCAAATTTGAAATACCCTGCATTAAGACAGGCAGCAGTCATCTACGAAACCAAATGCACAGTGGAGGAAAAAAAGATGGAGAACAAGGATCTAACAGACTATAGCTGAGGTCAACAATCATTCATGAACATGGCCAGCAGCAAATTATTAGCGTTGTTGTGTGTGTTTTCTCTCTCTCCCTCTCTCTCTCTCCCTCTCTCTCTCTCTCTCTCTCCCT